GCAGGTCCTTTGAAGATGAAGGGAAGTACTTGAATTAAAAGCTGCCTAATATTGTTTTCCTTAGATTTTTGTCAGAGAAGGGAAGGGAAAGAATATTTTAATACACGTCTCTCTAGCTCATCCAGTTCACTGAGAAACTTGAGACCACAAAGTACAGCCAAGTTTAATAGGACCAACGTTACATCATATCAAATGCTGCATTGAGAAAAACGAGCTATCTGGAACATTAGGGGGCATTTTAATGATGTAATAGGATTAGCCAGTGGATTTTACAGAAACATGTCAGTAGAATGATTCTGTTCTTTAAAAATTGGAAAAGTGTGAGTCACTTGTTAGAGAAATGGCCTGCTTTTGATTTCCCATCTTTCCCAGGGTGTATTCCTCACTTTAAAGCTGAATTTGGGTGGTACTGATTGGAACCATTCACAAAAGCACCACTAGCCAAGCAAAGTTCTGAAGCTCATGCATTATTTCATAATATACACTTTCCATGAATTTCATGGAAATTCTCAGACTAAAGACCTTCTGCAGTCCCAGAGTAGCAAACAAAATTTTCCTCTTCCATTTCTATTGCTACGGGAACACTCCAAATTTTTGTTCTTGAACATCTTAAGATTGAGGAAAATGAAGCTACCCCACTGTCAGTGGGTGTAAGAGTTGTGCACACCTCACATGGTCTGAGACCTAGAACTGCTTGGTTTAACTGTCTAGAGCTTGCTTAGTAATCCGAGTGGTGAATTTGAAGTAAATGCTGTTTCGTTATCTTTACCCAGTTAATTTCTATTCCATAGAAACCAAATTCTCCTACACCATTGCCACCCATCTCAGAAATCTGGGTCACAAAAATTCAAGAAACTTGAACAGATAGCTCAGATTAAACCTATTACTACGACTAAAACAAAAATGCAATGTAAAAAGACAGTCTATTAATGAAACACAGGAACCATAGCACTGTAATATATGCAGGTGGTAGAACATACTATCGTCTAAATCAAGTCTGTGTGATGAATGATGACTTACTTTCTGTTTTTTGAACAGCTACATAAAAAAATGTTTTGGATGCATACTAAATTGATTAATATGGAAATTTGCAGCAGTGCCCTAATGTTAAAAATTCAGACTTATGTAACAAAAATTTTCATTAAATTTTTACTTGAAAATCATTAGCTTTAGAAAGGATTATTTTCCAAATAAAATGTTCAATTAGAGCCTAATTTAGAAGCTCAAAAATGGTTGTTTATGGGCCCTGTCTCAAGTTTAGATAAAAGGATAAAGCATGCTTTGCTGGAAAAATATCAACTATTAAAAGTTATACAAAAGCATGAAGGACATTTTCCCCTTTGTTACTAATAATTGCTTTAAGCCTAACCCTCTGATAGAAATGCTTGTCATTTAAAAGTCTTGAGAAGACGTATGAAAGAAAATGTGTATCATTTTGCCTTGCCAGATAAAATGGAGGCAAAGTCATTCATGGAAAATAAAAGTTTTAAAGAGAGAAAAAATTCAGATAGAACAGTTTCGGGCAACATCTTTTTATGCAGAGTTTTGGGGCCTTTCAAAGGAATTTGTAAGGAACAAAGAAGCACAACTAAATTTGCTGGTCTCTGTACTTATGGTAACTCAGGAGGCCATTTATTTCAGCATCTTGTTGAGTGATCTGTAGTGTTAAAATAATACCAATAACAAGGTTTTCTAACAACAGAACACCACACACTTCTAAACTCATTTTCAAACACACATCTAATATCATTTCTAAGAGTGCAAGTTAATACACATTTATTATGAAAGAACCAAAATGTAATAGATGACAAAATAATAATTGTCTACATCTTGGAGGATCGGTGGTTGATCGTGCCAATTTTTTACGTCTGCCAATTATTTTGTAGTTATCATCAAATGGAACACACTATGTTGTAGACTACTTGATTTATCATCTGTGACCGCACATAAATATCTTCACTATCCTCATTACTCTTATTATTCCAGGATCACTGAACCTCCAGGTTGTGTTCATGTTTTTACTTTTATAAACTGCATGGCAAGGAACATCAATAGACATAAATTGTTATTCTTGTCCATGATTATTTCCTTATGAATCTCTGGAAGTAATATTTCCTAGTCAAAGGATCCATACCATGCTTTCGGCCATCAGAATCAAACTGCCCTGCCAAGAAGCTGGCATGCACATCCACAACACAGAAGCATGCACGATTCTGCACATATTTAAAACACCTTTACAGGCTTTGACCCAGTGTGGGCATTTGGCCTAGTGGGGAAGAAGGCCGTGTCCTTATCAGAGCACCAGGGCTCCATTTTGTGACTCCAGGTCCTGGTTTTAGCTTCCCGCCAATCTAGACACCAAGAGGCAGGAGGTGACGCTCTAAGTAGCTGGGCTACTGCCACTCATGTGGGAGATGTAGATGGAGTTACTAGCTACTGGCTTTGGCCTGGCCATCATGGCTATCTAGGGACTAAAACAGCAAACATTCTCTCTCTCTCTCTCTTTCTCCTGCTTCATTTAAAACAAACGTTTCATTAACTTGAAATAGGGGAAATTAATCTCACTGTGTGATTGTTATTTGCTATGTAAAGTAGAATATGAAGAATGTTTAAATTATCCTAAGAACATTTTAGGTTCCTGGGATAATTTTAGATAACGCTTTGGTAATTGGAAGTCAGTAACACCTTACTGCTTTGATTAGGCCTTCAATACTAAAGTTAATTTCACACATATGATGCCAAAAACTGCTTAGATATAAAGTTTAAAGTTTCATCGATAATTACATGTTTTGTTATATATTATCAGAACATCTCAATATTTGAAATCATTTGGATGAAATAAATAGATGGTGGAATGAATTTTTCATGTTTCATATAAATATTCTCATGTGTTTTGGCTTTAGCCATAGATGACTTTCAAAACTTAATTTCTATTGAGCCCATTATTTTTCCTATCTTCAAAATGTCCATGCATTTCAAATATTATGGAGTTACAGTCGCTTAACTTTGGTGATTATAGTGAATCATATCTAAGTAATATTTGAAGGCATTCTGAGGTTGTGCACATGTGGATCTTCGTTGCTTACCACCCTTTCTCCCAAGACGGAGACTAGGTTTCACCTGTGAACATCCATGCAGAGACCACTGAGCCCAGAGAACAAGGCAGTCAGCAGATGCTAACATTGTCTAGCCCATAGGATAATCCATGTGGTAAAAAGTAAAATTATATAGATTGTAGGAATTTCATCTTCATGCCAGTTCCACTGTCTTTTCTCATGCTCTACAAGACATACTTCTTGAGATTGCTTGATCTGTAAATTCATTTTGTATTCAACAATATGCCCATATTTGCAAATATGCTCTATGCTATAGAAAGAGAGGCTATAACATGGAATTGAGGCCTTTGCTTAAAATTGAATTATTCAGAAGACAAACTTATATGCAAAAAGAGGAAACAGAAAAGAAATAATAGAGTTATGCACCTTTTGTGTTTCTTCTACAGTTAGCAAGCCCTCTCAGCTAGCGGAGAGAGACGCCGTTCCAAGTAACTTCTGAAGGTTCTTAGGTATCTGTAAATCTATAAGCCTAAAAATGTCTTGCTAAAAATACAGAATGAACAGTGAGTCTACCTGAGAAGCAGTCAGTTTGGGGTGAAAAGAAAAAGATACCATGATAGCCTGCTTGTTGACTGATTACTGACTTCACTATATCCCAAATTTAATTATCCATAGAACATTGATAAAGTGGGAATTATAGGAAAAAGGAATAATCTTCTATTGAGCACTAACAGGATCAGTGGACCTATCTGCAAAATGGGGTCACTGGATGAGATGACCTTCCTATTCTAAACTTTCCTGAGTGCAAAATGTCAACTCATTCTCTCTTTCTCTCTCTCTCTCTCTCTCTCTCTCTCTCTCTCATACAGCAATGGAAGCATCTAGTGTCTCTCTATGTCAGAAGAGAGAAAGGAAACAGAAGGAACTTGGGGAGATGTGGGGGTGGGGGAGAGACGGCCATAAAGAGCCATGCTCATACTGTAACAGGTAATTAGAGGGGCCCACAGTGGTCTCTCAGTTTAAAACAGTTACTTTTTATGAAGTGTTTTCTGAATCACATTTTTGTTGAAATAGCCATTTAAGCAATTTTAGAATAAGAAAGACCCTGAAAGTATGATTTTAATTATAATTGTAATGATTTTCATAGTAGACACATTTTACCACCTAATGAACAAAAGAATTTACTACTTACCATTTGTTCTCTATAGAAAATTGTCCAATTTAACAGAAATTAAAGCCTCATAAGCACTTTATTCCTCTATTCTTTTCAAAATTAGAAACCATTAATATAATACTGAATATGTACAAAACATAAAAGTACTAACATGCTAAGGAATAAAATGAATGTCTTTTCAAAAAAACACATTGCAGTTTTCCATTTCCATGATAAAGCTTTTAAAACGGTAATTTTAAAAAGTCACTATGCTGTAACAGTTTACAACATTCTTACAGGACACCTTTGAGGCTATGAATTGCTGCCAGAAATGTACAGCATTCAGATTCCAATGAGTAACATTTTACATACCAAGTTTTTAAAATGCGCTATATGAAAAAATACATGTAGACTATACAATGTATTGTGAAGTATAAATAATGTAGCAAGTGGTTAGTACATGCTAAGGGGGGGAGGGGAGAATCTTTTATGTATTATTCTCAAGTTTAACATCAAGGATCACTGAAATACAATGTTGTTCATGTTTGAGGTCCACAGTCTGTATATTTCTAGTAACCTCACAATACTGAACATTACCAAAATAGTGAGCCTGGGCACATAACATTTTGAGAGTCTTTATGTGTGACAACCTTAAACAAATGGGAATGAATCTTTTATTTGCTTTGACAATCATTAAAGGTACTCCTAAAAATTGTTAAATATCCCAGACTATGTGGCAGTGGAAATGTTAAAGGATTATTTCCTCGCTGTTTCTGGTTATCAGAACTTACCTGGCCAGCAGCTTGCCAGGTGAAATTCATGGAGTGGATATTGACAGGAATAGCAGGCATTCTCTGCTGTGCTTTTCTGAAATCATGTGTAAAGGGGGCCATTTTCCCCTCGGAAACAATCAGGATATCCTCTTCAAACCCTGTTTGAAAAATAATAACAAAACTATCAAACCAAGAGGACTTGAACAAATCCAAATCAGAAGTCTCACTCAAAGAGATAACCAAGGAAGTTAGTAGGGTCATTTCTTCTCACAAAGCACCAGCCTTTGGTATCAACAACGCCCCTGGGATGAAGGTTCCTCCGCATATGGTGCCGAAGGACACACGCTTCCAGGAAAAGGAATGGACCTGCAGTTAACAAGTGCTGCGAACGCCCACACACGCAGGTTGCAAAGATTATCAACAGAATGGCCAGAACGTTCGTTCGGATTCTTGGGGAAAAAAGTTTGTGACCTTTCAGGTGGAAAATACGCATAACTAATTAACAGGAGGCGTGATCTTCCTTGAGAATTAAGTTTGAAAACATACCAAACGCATGCCTCCCGCCTTCTGAAGGGGATAAAGCGAGGGCGCAGGCAGGGGATAGCGCTGGACGCTTACCTATGAGCACTCTGGCCTGGTGAGCATCTATCCACAGGTACAGGCTCTCCTCCCGCGGCTGCCCGGTCTCCGCGCGCAGCACCAGCAGGCACGGGAGGATGCTCCAAAGCCGGAGAGCAGCAGCAGAGAGAGGGCTTCTCCGAGCCATGCTGCTCCGGACCTCCAGGCTCGCTGGCGAAACTCCCGCCGCACCTCCCCAACCTACGGCCCTCAAGTTCTCCGCTCCGCTTCAGGGGCCTCCGGCCGCGCTAGTAGACGGCTGGCTGGACGTGTAGCTTCCCGGCTCGGGTGCGAAGGTTCGAGCCGCGCAGGACTAGAGGGTCTAGGAGGGAGACGGGGAGGCAGAGACGCGAGCCAGGCAAAGCTGAGGATGCCAGCACTCGCAGGGTCCAATGCAGCTGGGGAGGCAGAGCGGGAAGGGCTGGCACTGGCGAGGTGCGAGCCAGGAGTGGGGCCAGCGAGGCGGAGACGGGGGACGCGTGGGGCGGAGCCGCGGGGCACCGGGGCGGATCGCGCGCCAAATGGGGGCGCACTCAATGAGGGGCGCTCAGAGGGATCCCCGCCATGAATGCAGTCGCCGGGCGAGACTGAGCGCTAAGGGTGGTGACAATGATGGTAATGCTGGCGATGATGGTGCTGACAGCCCCCCACCTTTCCACCCACACACTAGCTGAAGGTGCACATTTCCCTTCCTCTGCCTTTCCGCTACCACCAGCCCTCTCTGTTTGCCCGCCTTCTCTGTTCCTTGCTGCGCTGACATCTTGAAACTTCCATTCGGTTTAAACTGAGACTCAACTTGTGCGGCCATGCTGATCGCAGGCGCTCCACTAGACGATCGTACATTCTGCACCTGCCTGACCTGCCAGCCTACCAGGGAACCGCACAGGTAACCCCGCCAGGGAGTTCCATGGGCCCTTAATGACACCTGTGCCTATCCCCATCCCTGTGGTAGGGCTTGAACATCTTGAGATTTGCCTCTATTTTACAAAGTTGGAGCGAATCTACCTGTAAGATGCGAACCCCAGCAGAAAGGACTTATTTCTATCTCATGTCTAATTCCCTTGGATATGCAAAGAAACAAGCAAAAGATTTTCCAAGAATTTATAAAGTTTGTGGATTCAGCAAAGGTTGGTTCGCTTCTCTTTGTCTTTATTGCTCAGATACAGGGTCAGATACCCCAAGGATTTAGTGTTTGAGGCGGTGCTGGTATTTCATTGATATCTCACATCAAGGGAGATGATGGTGATGATGATGGAAGATAGCTAGACAGATGAATCACAAACAGAAACAACAAAAGATAAGCTGAATGTGTGCTTGCATTAAGGGAAATAAATCTTAGGTCATGTGAAGTTACTAAAAAGAACGGAACTTACGTAGTCCTGAAATAGTTCCAGCTATTTGATTGGGGAAGAGAGGAAATTTAGACAAGAAACTTGTCAAAGTATGATTTGAACTTGCGGTGTCTCAATTTTCTAAAGAGTTTCTACTTTAAGTACTTACGTAACCCTCACAACTCTGTGATGTGGGTACTATTGTTAGTCCCATTCCTAACAGGGGCGTAGGGCTCCGAAACTACCGAAGCTGACGGTATTCAGTTGCTATGTGACAGGCAGGGTTCAAATTCCAGGCACTCAGATTCCAGCACACATTCCTTCAGCGCTATACCTCACACTGAAGGCAAGGCACAGTTAGGAATGTTTGCATCTGCTGTTTCACAACCATTCTGCCTTTAAAATGAAAAGATTCAAAATAAATAAAAATATCCGGTTCTTTTCCAACATTCCGATTTTATCTCAGAAAGGATTCATTTGTACAATATATTCATACAATAGGCAGCCCTGAGGATACTGGAGCATTGCAAGACTAATGGCACTGAGTCGGAGAGCTCACAGCACGATAGACCTGGTCCTGAACTTGGGAGTGTATAGTTTTATTGAAGACTTCCCCTTTAGTAATGTTCAGATTCCATTGCTTTTGGTGCAAGCCCGCCCTCTACAGGTTGTTCTAATCAAGTACGGATGAAGAAACCCCTTTTGTACTGTAGACTTTCCGGGAAGAGCAAAGGTTCTTCAGGTTGGCTTCCTCAGAGAGCGGCCCTAAGAAGCAGGTGAACTTGCTGTTGATGGTGGTGCTGCACTTTCTTCCTGTAAGGACATTTGACCCCTTACAGGATGGCTGGCTGTTCCTTCTTCCCAACAGAGGATACTTAGAAAAGTTAGATTTTGTTATATATAGAAAACTGCTATTTTAAAATTTCAGACTTAAGCTATTTGGATTTTTTTAAAATTTTGTTTATTTGAGAGACAGAAAGAGAGGGAGGAGAGAGAGAGAGAGAGCGAGCGCCTAGCTACTTAATCCATCCTTAAATGTCTTCAATGACCTGCCTTGGGCTGGGGCTGAAGCTAGGGGTCAGGAACTCAATTATTGCTTCCCACGTGGCTGGCAGTTACCCAAATACAGGGGCCATCACTTCTGTCTTTCCAGGCACACATAAACAAGGTGCTGGAGCCTGGAATCGAACCAAGGTATTGATAAGTGTGACAGGAGCATATCAATTGCTAGCCTAAATGCCCCTTCTTGTTCTTTTGGCTTCCAAAGGAGAGGAAGGAATATACTTTGGGTGGTTCAATAGTCAGTTATTTTTAAAGTAATAGAGAATGCCTTTGTATGGGAAAGTCTATCTAACACCTGGTAAAGAGTAGCCTCGCTTTTAAAATTTAAAATAGAGTTGTGGTTTAAAATGTCAACATTTATTTACAGATGGCTAAGTATTTGGGAACAATGTATTAGGAGGTATTACAAATTAACTTCATTCCATCTGAAAATTCTATATTTTAAGGTCTAGTCCATAAAGCTTCCTTTGCTAGCTTGGCTTCACCAATTATGCTTTTAACTTCATTTACCTATTCATGAACTCAGCAAAGGTCTATTAAACGTCTATTATGTGCAGCACACTGACCTAAAAACTACAGGGAAAAACAAAACATGCAGGCCCGAGAGAGCACTGGGGCGACAACAAGGATAATACAAGCACTCAGTCATAATATAAAGCAGAAGGTAGTAACTGTTGACAAGACAGAAAGTCTGAAAGCTCAAAGAAATTCATATTTGGAATTCTGGTCTTTTTTTTTTTTTAATTTATTCCAAACACATTTACAAGTGTCTGATATATGTACTGTACAAGCACAAAGAAAATCAAGGTGAGCCAAATAAGAGCTTGAAGAGCTCTCAAACAAGGCAGGGTTGGGTACGAACAAAAGAGGGCTGAACGCCATAGCACAGGGTATTTGGGCCTGCACTCTGGATTCTGGAAGACTTTCCTACAATAGAGAGTCCTGGAGCAGTCTTAAGGTCAAGGGGCAATGCACATGCTAGCAAGTGGGACAAGGACAGTCACGTTTAGAGACCAGGGAGGACAGGGCAAAGAGACAAGAGAAAGAATCGTATCAGACAGGGCTTGCAGTTGCAATGCCGATCTGCAGGATGATGAGCCGCAGTGGGAAAGGCAGGTGTCCTGTTTGGAGAGGGGGAGCAGCAGACCCCCCTGTAACACATTGCCCTGGAAAGGGAGCTCCAGGAGAGTAACTGAAAAGAGCAGGTTGTCAAGCATCATGCTCAGGGCAGTCTTTTTACATCTGTCTCCATCTGTCTTCAAGTATGTGCACATAAAGTTCAGGGAAAATGTTTTTTATCAGAAAAGTGTATATTGACTTCACACAATTTTATACCAATGCAAACTTACCTTTGAATTCCATTTTCAATGAACCTTTCTTTTGGAATACCCTTGTATGTGTATAATCTGTACATAAATAATGATGCATGGACTACATTTACCTAATTTACATTTATATCTACTTATATAATGTAGAAAGTAGTTCTCTATGGGGGGTAGGAATAGGGATAATGAATCTATATTCCTGTTATGCAGAAATATTTCCTCATTTCTAATGAGCACCTCTTATGACTTAAAACCATTTTAAGAGTAGAAATTTAAAAAAGGTTTCTCCTTTGCTGTTTCTTTCTCCTAAAGTAGGCAGCTGTCACCTCCCTGGGCCTCTTGCTATGCTGTTGGCATACTGTTTCACATAAGAACTGCATTTCACATTACACAAAGCACATGACAGCTCATTACGGAAGCACAGCTTAGCTCAAACATTCCTCGCCATCCCAGGCGACACCCTTGTTCTTCTTTGCTCACATGACGGCATTGCCAAGCAACCTAGGGTATCTTGTCTCCTGCAAACCATATTCATTGTTTCGTGTTCATCCATGCTGTTTCATCTTATGACAAGTTACAAAGGGGGAAAAAAGATGAACATTTTCATTGTCCAATATTGGAGGACTTAAAAAATAAATTAAAATTCCTTCATATTGAACCATTAATCTGGTGTTCTGTCATATATGTCCCAGTGTAGTTCTATCTCCACAGTGAGAATAATGGACAATTATCTATCACTCCTAGAACTTTAACAAATCATTCATTTCAAAATACACAGTTAGTTGCAAGTAAATTTTATTCAATGTTTTTAAATATTCTAAACATAAAAATCAATGTTTTTTTAAGACATGAGTTGTTAACTGCAAAAGAGAAATGTTAACTTTAACGATATTAAAATTAGAAGCTTTATTTGTTGAAAGAAAGCATTGAAAGCGAAAGCCATAGAATGAAACAAAATAGAGTACATGGATGTATAAGACTGTTATATAAACATATTACAAATTTCTGAAAATCCACTGAAAAGATAAACAATCCAGTAGAAAAAAATAATAAAAGTATTACATAGGAGTTTGTGAAAAAAAAGCATAACTACATGGCAAATTAATGTATGAAGTACCCACTTAATTAGTCACCTGTAAAATGTGAAGAACTGGGAAAACCACTTCAGACCCAACAGAATGAAAAGGAGGAGCTAAGAATCTTAAACAAGAGAGTCTTTCGATTGCTGGTGGAAGTATAAACATTTGAGCTCATCTATTCCAATCCTTGGTATAAACTGAGGGGAAAAAAATTGTGTACTGATTCATCCACAGACATATTTATGAAGATTCTGTTACCAATGGCTCCCTAATGGACACAATCCAAATACCCATTGGCAGAAATAAAGAAATTACTTGTTTCCAAATGAGATGACTCTCACAAAACATAGCTAAATCAGACAATGAATGCATCTGTATGATTCAATAGTTTAAAAATCCCAAAACAGAAAAAGCTAGTCAGTGATATTAGAAGTCAAGGGTGTAATTAATCATCTTGGGAGATTGGCAGTGATCAGAAAGGCCATAA